CCTATAAATTGAACTCCATTGGCAACTAGAAAAGGGGGAAATTTGAGAAAGAAAAGCGTTGCACCCCTGCTAAAATTCCAAGAGTCCAAAAGAGAGAAGAGGAAACAGGGACAACCTTCACAAATCCAAAATAAAACATTTTGTTCCTCCCCTTTAAATCAAAGAGCACAACCACTCTCCCGTCACTCACGCTGACACCAAAACATCCAAAGGTAGCAACTCAAAGCTCCAAGCACGCTCCAGGTTCAAGGTAAGTCTTTCTGACTTTGCTTGTTTTTCATTCTGAACATCATTAACATGTAAATATCATAGTACCAATGTTGTACATATCATTACTTAAGTAGAAACACCATGGATCAGAACTTTTTGATTAAGGCTAGGCTCAGGATCAGGATTAAAACTTTTGTAAATTGTTGTGATTTTTTATCCTTCTGATTTGTTGTTTGTTAAAAACTGAATAGATTACTGATATGCTGATTGAGAGTTGAAATATGGCATAAAACTTCTGATGTTCATTCATAGTTTTAACATACATAACTTCTATGATTTTTCTTACTGTTAAACACACACAGAACTTCTGAGTTCTCCTCACTGTTTTAACATACAAAACTTCTATGATTTTTCTCACTGTTAACACACACTAAACTTCTGATTCTTACATGCTGATAATGCACTGAATTGCTAATATTCACTCACTGACTCAGCATAGTTCAGAACTTCTGATGATTCACTCACTGTTCTAACACAGCACAGAACTTCTGAGTTCTCCTTACTTGTCAAACACACTGAACTTCTGATGTTTCCACTCGTTGTTTTCAAACACTCAGAGTTTTTGATTTTTACATGCTGATAACGCACTGAACTGCTGACGTTTACTCACTGTTTTAGTGTAATACATAACTTCTGACTTGTGGCCCACTGTCTGAATACCACCAAAAACATCTGTGTTTTCCCTCTAACGTGTCATGCAGTACCTCAGAGTTTACCAATCCAGAACTTCTGATTCCACTGACGTCTCCTGCTGAGTCACAACGCTCTTGGATTTCAGAACTTCTGATCCTAGTTGTTCTTCTTGCAGCAGCACGCTGTTTCCATCTTACATTTATTTTCTTTTTCATCATTTTTAATATTAACATAAAAAACATACAAATATTTTCCTTTTAATTTATTTCCTTAAGACAAAAACATTTTCTAAACAAGTTCATTTCTTTCTCATACTGTACATTTCAATATGGTTGTAATAGTAACTTAGGATTTAATTTCCTTTGCAATACCCATTCATAAATATGTACCCCCATCCCTAATATTGTAATAACGTAGGACTTTACATTTCTGCAATTTATCGCTTTTAAAGGTAAATGCTAGTAATTAGGGTGTGTATGGCAAGACATGAAATTGACAAATAGATCACCCTAATCAAGAATAAATACATGCAAATCAAACACACTTGCACACTAGCACCCATAAGGTTAACTCCACTTGTTGCCTAAAAATGGCCATGTTATGCATGTGGGATGTTTTAGCACAAACAAAAATATAAGATCATAGTCTCTCAATGACGCTGTCAAAGTTGCCTTTCGAAATGATCTTAGTCCCTAAAGAAAAATGCTAAGTCATCTCACAACATTGTTATCATGGTCATACGATGACCCAACGCCCGTCCCTTCACATCCAACGATGGAGCTTCTTACCAAAACAATGGTAAGATAACAACATCTAAAGGAGGATGAAAAGAACATCTAAGACCTTTTGAGTAGGTAGATTCGCTCTCAGTTACTCGCTTGCTCACAACAAAAACATTTCTATACACCCACACTCTCATCTTTGAACTATTTTCAAAACAAACACTTTGTATGCGTTCTTATAGAAACAAGAATCATTACAAAGTTACATTTTCATACTTTCAAAAAACACACCACAAGCACATTCAAACAAAAGTAAGTGATCTAGCAAGTAACTAAGAGCCCATGGAAAACCATGGATGAAAATGGTGCTAATACTTTCCCTTTTCATAATCTTCCCCCCCGAACTCAAGAAACCGTCTCTAAAGGTCTTTCCTGTGCTTTTTTACCTTTCCTTTTGGATAAAAGAAAAGTCAGTGGCGACTCTTGCTAAACCACAACATTTGCAAACACAAAATGCAAAACCTCAAGTCAGTTATCCCACCGTATCACAAGATCATACCTTTCTGTTGTGCATATTTATAGACATATGAGTTATATACCTTCGTATCTGTAGTATTGTGATGTATACGGGTTTTCATTATGTAATTTTTCTACTTTTGTATGTTTCCATGTATCATTTTATAACATCACCACATATTATTCTATATATATATATATATATATATATATATATATATATATATATATATATATATATATATATATATATATATATATATATATATATATATATATATATATATATATATATATATATATATATATATATATATATATATATATATATATATATAAGGGATATTCTTACTCCAAGAGTAAGTTAATAACCGTTACTCCACATCTTGACCATTAATTCTTTTTAATCCAATGGTTAGAAATGATAAATAACAATTTTCTCTCTCTATAGTTAATTACTTATTATTTTTAACCATTGGATTGAAAATAATTAATGATCAAGATGTGAAGTAAGTGTTAATAACTATATATATATATATATATATATATATATATATATATATATATATATATATATATATATATATATATATATATATATATATATATATATATATATATATATATATATATATATATAAGGTGTTATACGCTTCAAATGATAACAATCATTAGTGTGATGATCCTACACTGTGGTATTTACACCATTTATCGATATCCATCCCCATTACATTTCCCTTGGGCGTGTTAGGTTCAAGAAGAATCTTTATATGACAAATCTCTTGCAAAATTCTTTTCTGTTTTGTGTTCAATGGGGGGTGAAATACTCATATGACATCTTATTTTTCTTGAACGATGCTTTCTCATAGGGGGTGCTTGATCCCTCTACTTTCTTTGCCTGCTGGATTCTGACTTTGACACTCTCTCTTTCACACATTTCAACCTCTTATACACATTAATTCCTCCCCTTTAATGTAAGATTTTGCTCGTCCCATTATCTCATCCATTGTTGTCGTTGGTTTTTGGGTTAGGGACTCGTTAAAGTGATCCGTCTTAAGACCATTTTGAAAGGCCCCTACAAACATCTCATGATTAAGATAAACACATTTGATGTTTTCTTCATTAAAATGAGTCAAGTATTCTCGCCGAGACTCGCTCTGTCCTTGGCGGACATTGAAGAAGCTTGTGGTTGACACTTTTCTGTGCTTTCCAGGGGAGAGTTAATGTATCATTTTTCTTGCCTGATCCTAATAGATGGTTACGAAGAATCTAAGACGACTCATGTACTAGCGTAAGACGACATCCTTCAACACATCCACCGCCAGCTTGCACTTTAGTGAGTCAGTAGCTTTGAGGATGGGTATTTAAGTGTTGACTGTTATGATGTGTTCTTGTAGGTTGTTTTTCCCTTTAAAAGTGGCCAATATGGGCAACTTGAAATTATTCGAGACTTGGTCGTCCTATATTTCCTCAGTCAGAGGTTGTTGATCAATCATATCTTTTAAGTAATTGTCCTCTAGTTGATGATGGTGTTGATTTTGCTACGCACTCTATCTTGCAACAACTCATTTTGGTGGCACATATTTTCCATGGCAGCGAGTAGTTCTTCAATGGAAGTCTGTGATACCTGATTTGCTTGCTCTTCTTATTTAAAGATGACAAATTTATTGATCTGCAATTTTGTATGATCCAAATAAATTTTTATCATAACCTCACAATAGGTACTAACTGTTTACACAAAACACACTAGTTATACATATTTTTTTAGGTGGAATGGAAGGCCAAAGGCCTAGAAAAAGACAACTACAACGAAGATTATCTCGTAGATGAAACACCTAAAACGTCACTAGAAAACAAAGGGACAATAAACATTAAAAAAATCTTCCATAAACAAAATAACACCACAACTAATAACTCCAAACTTAACTAAAGCATCCGCACATAAAGCTGTACATAGTTATTTAAAAGTTCTTATGCTTTCAATATATTCATTTGTTGTTTTTTTGGACATTATCAAAATTTTACATAAATTCAAGTAAAATTAGCTAATTTTAATTTTTGGGCCCTGTATCTCAATTTTATTTAGGCCTTGTAACATACATAGAGCTAGAATTTCACAACATAAAAAACAAAACATCCGAGTAACATACAAACGTACGCGTACTAACTCACTCTCTCTCTCTCTCGTCAGGCAAGCGCCCTCTCTCTCTCTCTCTAACTTCTTCTCAATGTTTTTTTTTTTTCCTCTTTCCATTTCGTAAGATTTTTACCTCCGCGATTTTGATGAATTTTTTGCGCTCTTTTTCTTAACGAATTTGAGACACTCTTTTGCTTTGAATCAATTTTTCTTCACCACTTTTCATTCTACTTCACTTATAGATTCATATGTTAAAATGGGTACCTGAGTTTCTCTCTAGTTCGATTGAGTAGGACATAAAGTTTGAATTTTTATGCGATTAGCACTTTGTTTGAGAAACCCTCATGAATTTATCCAATTGAATATTGATTTACTGTAAATTGGGGTTTGAAAACGACCGCGACAAAATAGTATTGAAAGGTGCCCATACCAATACTGTTATTCATGATAAAGAACTAATTGTGAATAATTCACACCACAATGGCTGCAATTAGTGTTGCAACATGTGTGCCGACTGAAATCGCGGAAGCCTTCACATGACCGATATTTAAAACCTTTTTAGAGTTTAAACTAAGATAATTGCTCATGTGTTAATATTTATCCATCAATCAATTGATGAGCTTAAGGAATTCTAATAAGGAGTTTTAGGGTTTAAATCTTGGAAACTAACATAATCACTTATGTACTAATATTTCATTTTCTGTTTTTATAGGTGATTTGAAATGGCTGAACCCTCCAAGGTCATTCATGTTCGAAATGTTGGTCATGAGATATCTGAAGTAAAATCTCTCTCAGCCTCGCTATATATGTTTGTACTTGTTGCTTATGGTTTTTAATATGATCATGTTCAGAGTTGTCAAGTTTTTTGAGGCTCTGTGTAGGTTAACTGTTGTTTGACCATAGAAAAACAAATAGAGATTTTGTGTAACCACTATTTTATCGTGACAATATTTTATGAGGTCTTATTTAAAGACGACCCTGATTGTGTCATGGATTTAGTATGGGCTATGCTGCTCTTACTTTAACTCTATTATGGCAAAAAATGTGTTTTATGTTAAACTTGCTCTTGTTTGGGAATGGAAGTATCTATGTTAGATCTTTATTGTAATCTGTTCTACAATACCTATATCTCCGATATTAATTTTTTAAACTAGCTCTAATGTAATGTTGGTAAAACTAAGTTGGATAGTATTGATTGTTCTCTTTGTTATTAATTGCTATATTTATTAAAGGAAGCTGAAAGATCGTGTCAGTAGATTATATTCTGTTGACATAATTTGAGGTTTATAATTTGATGCAATTTTGCGAGCCAGTGATTCGTATGAATTATATCTTGTAATGAATACAAATGATTTTGAATCATGTGCACTGTGCATGAATTGTTGAAATTCTGTGTCCTTAAGAGATCTAAGTTTCAAATTTCTTCAATTATTTATATACTGTTTCATCTGGTTGCAGAATGATTTGCTTCAACTATTTCAACCTTTTGGAGTCATAACAAAGCTTGTGATGTTACGTGCTAAAAATCAGGTTTTCTTCATACCTTCAAATGAATCTTTTGGTTTTTCTCAGACTCTTAGAACTCACGGGCGAATTGTTATCATTCTTAAAGGCTCTTCTCCAAATGCAAGAAATTCCTTCTGCAGTTAGTGCTATACAGTTCTATGAAAATGCTCAACCAAACATAAGGTATGCGATTGTGTCAACTTGATGTTGGACGGCATGTTTTCGGTATTTAGAAAGCACTATTCATTCTCTTTGATGTTAAGAAATTGCTGTTTTAATCTCGTTCTGTTTCATTCAAGGGGGAGAAATGTTTATGTTCAGTTTTCCTCTCATCAAGAACTGACGACAATGGATCAAAATCAAGGACGAGAAGACGAGGTTGGTTTTATTTTGGTTTTTCTTTAATTGAATGATATATACTTCTTTTGTTCCCTTTTACTTGTTGTATTTGCATAAAATTTACGTTCCTATTTACTTGTCGTTTTCAAAGTTCAATGCTCTCTGTCATTGACCGCCATTTGCCATTGACAACACTGATATGTGTAAAAAATACTAAAATGACAAGTAAAAAGGAACGGAGGGGATGCCTTTTTTCTTTTGGCATTTGTATTCTCTAATTTTCATGTGATCTCTTAACCTATAAATAATTATCTTACCTTCCATATAATAGGCTTATTGCTAAATTTTCCTTTTCTCTTACCATATACTTCTATATTTATTATCCTTTCTCTCTATCTCTTCTCCTTCTCTATGCTGTTTGCTGTCTGCGGTCGGCAACTCTTTGGATGCACAGCCAAATCGAATTCTCTTAGTCACGGTTCATCAAATGCTCTATCCTATAACAGTGGATGTGCTACAACAAGTATTCTCTCCCCATGGATATGTGGAAAAGGTTGTAACATTTCAGAAGTCAGCTGGTCAGATTCTCAGATTTCTTCCTTTCTCTCTCTTTCTTTTCTTATCAAGCGCTTTTGTCATTTGGGTCATGCAATAATTTTTTTTGAAACATATCAATCTTTTTTCTTTCTGTAAATATTTTTTCTTTCTGTAAATAAAACACGGTTATTTAATGAGTGAAATTATTTTGGCGGAAAACATGGCCGAATGGCCAATAATATTATTTTAGTGGATAAAAGTTATCGTTATATTGGATTTATGCATGTTTAATGGTTGCATAATCTGTTTCATCTTCTGTTTGAAAAATTGTGTAGGCTTTCAAGCTCTCATCCAGTATGAAACTCGTCAAAGTGCCATAACTGCCAGAACTGCACTTCAGGTTGTTTTAAAGTTAAATAGATTTCACACTTTACTTAGTGTGTTGATTCTGATATTGTTTTTCTGGAATGATGATTGTACTTTTGGATCTTTCTAGGGACGCAATATTTATGACGGTTGCTGTCAGCTGGACATTCAATTCTCAAAGTAGGTTACTATTATCTCTTTCTCAGCAACTTCATATCTGACCTTCATCGTACTAGCTAATTTGTAAGAATGACTTGAGTTATACCCAATATGAAACCTACTATGGTATTAGAACAAAACCTATCAATTTGGGCCACCCACTAAATTATTCAAGCACTCAAACAAATATTGTTGGAATCAGTGTAGTCAAGACCGAGTGCTGGATCATAAGATCTTAAGATCTTATGTTCTAAAGATGCTTGAGAGTGCTATGATCAAAGAAAGATCGTTTTCATCACTGGTGTGGGGCTTTTTTTGTGTGCCTATATTATAATTTTCATGTTCTTGTGTATGTGTGTGTATATGTATGAAATTACCATTTTCCCTTCAGTAGGATCTTACATGTCATGCCAACAATCTGCGTTTTACAATCTTTCACAAATCGACCGATCCCACTTAAGATCTCGTGCTTGACTACTTTGGTTGTGATCCTACTTACGATCTCGTGATTGACTACTTTGGTTGGGATGTGAGGGGGTGTATTAGAAAAAACGAATGTTATACATCGAAAAGAGAAAAGACTTGACAATAGTTTATTAAAATTGACACCCTCACCTTACAAACTGGTTTTCTTAGATGAGTTAGGCCCAATATAAAAACCTAATACTTGGTTTAGATAATCATGCTGTTCTCCTTTGCTGGCTCATTTTGTATCTCCCAACCTTCTTTTAATCTTTTCTTTTACATTTGATTCACGTTACTTGCAGCCTTGATGAACTACAAGTGAACTACAATAATGATCGTTCAAGGTGATTCAATAAGTTCCGTTTATCTCAACGTAATCTATTTTTTAACAGCATATTTCATTATTGCTGAGTTTATTCCTCATTTCTGCAGGGACTTTACAAACCCAAATCTGCCTACAGAGCAGAAAGGCCGACCTTCACAAGTATGTTCTATGTGATTTTCTTATAATCTATTTACGAACAAGTTTTCTTGTTGATCATTATCAACTACTTTCTAATTCTAGTTTCATATTTCAATCTTCTATGAAATAGTCTGGATATGGCGATGCAGGAATGTATGGGGTTCAAGGTCCTGGACCCAGATCAGGTGCTAAACATTTTAAATTGCTCTGGTTGATTTGCTTTGTTCGGTTATTGAGATCTGTTTGTAATGTACTAATATTTTGTCATTTTTACTTTTACAGCTGGATTCTCGCAGGTGGGTACTTTTCAAGCTAAGTTAAAGTCACCATATGTGATTATTGATGCTCAGTTTAATATATGAAGAAGTTACTATCGGTTTGCATCTTATAAGAAGTAGCATTAAAAATGTCTAACAGTTTCTGTCTTTTCGTTTTCTATTTCAATAATAAGTGGGAGACAGACACCCCTCACGTTACAAGCCAGTTTTGTAGGGTTGAATTAAGTGCAATCTAAATTAAGATTTTAGTAGAGCTTATCCAAGAACTGTCAGGGTTACCTGCTGTCGGGCCACTCTGGTACATCAGATGTACGGTCTTAGCCACAAGGGTGTATCTTGGTGTCCCACATTGTACGTCCGTTGGAAATATAACCTGGAAACAGTTTATAAGAGGGAGAGAGACATCACTCACATTACAAGTCGGTTTTAGGGTTGAGTTCGGTCCATCTAAAATTTGTAACTCCCCATTTGCAATCAATTGTAGATGTGCATTTAATAACTTTAAAGATTTTCATTTACTTTATGGTAAATGACATTATACAGTGAACCCATTACTAAAATTTTCTTGTGTACAAATTAACTGTATACATGCATTTAAAGTGAACTTTTTTGTTTATATGTAGTGCATGCTTTGTTTAGCTTAATTTTTAATGTTTTCTACCTAAAGATCTATAAATAAGATTTTAATTACTAGACGATTTAAACACAAGTTAATCCCTCTATATACTTATCATTTGTGTTTTGGATTATAGATGGGCAATGCTGCAGCTGTTGCCGCTGCTTTCGGGGGAGATTTTCCTCCTGGAATAACTGGAACAAATGACAGGTGTACAATTCTCGTCACTAATCTCAATCCTGATGTAAGTACATTTGACTAGAACCTTTTCATTCTGGTAGAAAGTTGTCTCCTTTTTATTTAATTATTTGCTTTAAATTTGGTTATTTCAGAGAATCGACGAGGATAAACTGTTCAACTTGTTCTCCATTTATGGGAACATTGTCAGAATCAAAATTCTCCGGAATAAACCAGATCATGCACTTGTTCAGATGGGGGATGGTTTCCAAGCCGAATTGGCAGTGTATTTTCTGAAGGTTTGTATTATGCATACATTGGTGATTCTATATCTTTATACTAGGCCTCGTGATTACTAGACCTGTTTTTTCTATGCCTGTATATTAGTATATATTGTGATAAAAAAGGTTTGATAGTGCAAACAATAAAGAGAGTACAATTCGCATTGCGGCCGTGGCGGTGTGAATTTTTATTGAGAAGAGTTTGAAATACACAGTTAACAAACACTAAATGTTAAGATTTTTCAGAAGTAAATTGAGTTTTGACGAAAATACTTGAAGAAACCCGAGCGAAGTTGTTTGATGCGGTTCCTAATATGGAAGGATGCTTGATTTCAAATCACACCATAATTGCGGTCTGACGCGGTTGCGGAGACTACCGCATCAACAATATTGTGGCCGCAATTGCAGTCACGAACCACAATTAAAAATAATGATTTGAACGGTTGTATTTATTGAGATGCATTCAACACTCTAAGACAGTAACAGAGAGTTGTTCCATTATAACAGAAAGCTGACTTGACATTACTAACTGCTAACAGTTAACACTACTGTCTGTTGGCAACAACATAGTATTCACACAATATACACAAATACTTGATACTCTATTAGTTAGAAGGTCCATGCTATTACCTTTTGTTCGTATACACAAATACCTGATACTAAAACCTTTTCAATTTCAAATTATAGGGAACCATGCTATTTGGAAAGCGAATGGAGGTGAACTTCTCAAAGCATCCAAACATAACCCAAGGTGCTGATACACACGAATACATAAGCTCAAATCTCAACCGATTCAACCGAAATGCTGCTAAAAACTATCGGTATTGCTGCTCGCCGACAAGGATCATCCACTTGTCCTCCCTCCCACAAGACATTAATGAAGAGGAGATTGCAAGTCTTTTACAGGAGCATGGAATCATCGTCAACTGCAAAGTCTTCGAGATGAATGGGAAAAAGCAGGCTCTTGTTCAATTCGAGAGCGAGGAAGAGGCAACTGAAGCCCTTGTATGCAAGCATGCAACTCCACTTTCCGGCTCCGTGGTTCGTATCTCCTTTTCGCAGTTGCAGAATATATGATGCGACATGATAAGGGATTCTGAAATTTGAAAGGATAATTTATATGGTCTCGTTTTTAATTAACTTATAAAACCTGTTCTAGACTTTTGAGGTAAGCTTTATGGTTGCAGATGGATGGAGTTTTTGAGGGGTAGAAAAGAGAAAATTAGTACCTCGTTTTAAGTTTTGAGGGATTGAGTTATGGTTTTTATAATATGATTGTTGATGTATATGCTTTGTAGGGGCTTAGTTGGCCTTTCTGTTGTAATATCATTAAACACCAAAATTTTCATCTCCATCTAAACTAGAAGCTACATATTTGAAAACATGTTTCATTGTTTGTCTTTGCCCAACCTTGAATGGAAAATAAAAGCATCAAGTGAAAGAAAAGTTCCTGTGTGTTATGCAGATTTGAGAGATGTGTTCTTATGGCCTATTTCTCTCAAATAGTTCTTGCTTTTAATTCTATCAAAAGAGTCTTGTATTTTTCCAAACAGCAACAATGTTGTACCTTTAATGGCCTTCCATCCAAATCTGTGAAACAAAAAAGTGTATGCTGCTTCTTGGGGGCATGAAGAGTAAGTGAAGGTATCAGTAGACTTTGATTGTGTGTCAAAAACATTACTACTTCGATTGTAATGTTCTATAAATAGAAAGTTTGTATTGAAAAAAATATTTAAGAAGTTAATTATAAATTTTTAATAAAATCAATGTACAATTTTCAAGAAAACAGTTTTATATTTAGTGTTTAACTTGTGTCTTTAGGGAACATGTTAATATTTCCATATCCATGCATAATTTTCAAGAAAACATTTCCATATTTAGTTATTATAGTTTGACAATTTCTCGTTCCATATAGATAGAAGAAATACCCTGTACATTTTCTAAAGTGTCTTTGAAAATCGGAAATATATTTGAAAATCGGAAATATATTTCTAGTATGCACATTTTTTTGTTCAATGTTGTTTAGAAACTGGAAATATATTTTCGAACAGAATCAGAAATGTATTTACGGTTATTGTGTTGACATAACCAGAAAAAGTTATGCTGGTAGTGAGTCTCTTTTGCGCGTTATTTCGCATTGAATACAAAGACGTATACACCAAAACACACTACAAAGACATATAGAACAAATCTGTAGTCAATATAAGGGATAACTTAAAATTTATCCAAATACAATCAAAAAACAATAACCGAAATACATATACAATAGAAAATACTACTAGATATGACAGACTCTGAGTTGGCCCGCCATCCTCCTCGCGTTCCTCTCTTGCCTCTTGTACTGCAGAGTCTCCCGAGCCTCTGCGATGATGGCATCCAAAATACCTCTAACATCAAAACCATCAGGAAACAAATCATCATCAATACTCGCATGCACAATATCCATGATACGACAACACCTAGGTAACACATCAGAGGCATGATCAGTCAGTGTCTGCTTCTCCTCTAGAATCTTCTGATGAGCTGGCCTCAGAGGGTTTCTTGGAGCATCTTGTACCAGGTATGGATGAGATACTCTGAAGAACCATATGATATAATCTCCACGTAGCTTCAATCATCTGGAGCAATGATACTCCGGGCATCATCTGAAACAAGAAGATTCTCATAATCATCAAACAAAGCATTCATATCCATGTGTTTCCACCAGGGGAGGAGCAGATAAAGCAAGATTCCGGGGAATGGTCTGGGTGTACCCGAACTGGCACATGACACGCTCAGACATATAAGTCACCGTCTTGTCCTACCCGCAAGCCAACCATCCCACAAATAACACAACATCATCAAATGGTATCGTGGCACGATGGTCATGGTATGAATGGAAGTGTATGTCCTCAAATACCACCCGATCAATATACACCTAGAACGACTCTATCATTTGGTTCCCTCGGAGGGGGTCGTATGAAGTGGCACGCGGCTTAGCTTTAGTATAATTAATAGCTAGTGACCAATCCGAGATGCAGGGGAAGTGCGTTAAGATCCAACCCTGAAATAACAATAATTATTAATTAGTAACTGAATCATAATAATTAATAAAATTTTATATAGACTAAGAAATTTTACTGTCAGGAGTGTGATGCTGCCGCTCATCTGCTTCGTCTTCCACTTACTTCCGTCAGGCAGCTTCGCATACAAGTACACCAAACAAGCAGCCCCTCAGTTCCACTGGTGGATCTGCTCATAATCATCAAAGTATCCTGGGTACATCACATCTGTGTAAGTGACACTAGTGTTCATAAAAATCTGTGTGACAACTAGAAATAAAAGATATGCTCTCATAGCCCGACTTCAGTGTAGGGATCACCATCATCCAGTCGTGCATACCTTATCTCATATGTGAACATTGTCTTCAAATAACTATATCTAACATGGGCACCACAGGTAAAGTCCAACTCAACCATGGCACTCTCAAGGGTCATTCCCAATTTCTCTACCAACATATCCAATGCTTCCTCTTTGTCAATACTTTCATGGTCTAAGAATGTCTGTCTAATCGAGAGATGCATCAGAGACGCGACGTCGTCCAGTGTGATCGTTATCTCACCATGTGGTAGATGGAATGACAATGTCTCATAGTGCCACGTCTCAATAAAAGCGTTAATCATACTATGATTAACGATGCTATAACCACACTCATTCAAGTCTTTCAACCTTGTAAGCATTAACAACTCACCAAACCATGGCTCTATAGGGGGTACTAGTTTACTGATCTTCTGCCCATGGTTAATAACCTTCACTGGATCACGTTCCTGCATTCATGATTGACAAAATTCATTCAACAAAAATACATAATGAAAATGTAATAGAAGGAACAAATTAAAATTCATACCTCTCCATCCCATATATATCTAGCAACATAGTTTGGGCACAGAGGCAACCGAGATAAATCAGACGGTCCTCCTCCAAAATCCTGAGCCGCCGCAGGTGCCGCCTGAGGTGATGGCTCAGGTGCTTGAGATGTTTAGGGTGCCGCCTGAGGTGTCAGCTGAGGTGCCTCAGGTGCCTGGGATGAGGGTTGTGGCTGGGCCTGAGGTGTCTCCCGTGTGACCTCTGGTGTCAGTTGGGAACCAAATGTCTCTCCCACCTCAAATACCATCATTGAGGAAGTGTGTCTACGGGAGGACAAAAGCGGGGAGGGATGAACTAGAGAATCCTGTTGTGGGAGGAAGATGTAGCCGGAGTAGAAACATGAACATCAGAGGCAGAGGTTGTAGTACATGCATCCGACACAACCTGTCTAGAGGCAAGAGGAGCCTGAGATGCCCAAGTCCTTTCTCTCTGCATAGAAGCATGCTGTGCAAGCCGACCGTGTCTCATTCTAGATGGTCTCTCAGCCATTACTCCTGCAGAAGTACGAAAAATACGTTAACAAAGGACCCTAAACCCTAAAAGATGGGAAAATAAAAACAGACTAAAATCAAAAATGTACTTCCGGTTTTGTTCATAATGAAAACCGAAAATGCATTTCTGATTTGACCTGTAATTTCAAGCTCCATCAATGATGAAGCAGAGGCACATACAACCTTAAACAAAATGCTATTGATCATCAAAAAGAACCTTCCAACAATTAACTAATGCTGCCTAATATTGAAAGCAAACAATAAATTCCCAATTTTTAACCTAAAACACTAATTTGAGTAAAAAAATACATAAACTCTAAAATACTAAAAAACAACTTACAATTGTTTATTTTCCTTGATTGAATGTGGTTGGACACTTGAGTTAAGTAATCCTTGACAATTTCTGACGAGTTTTTTTGCGAATTTGGTTTGTTATTAAAACAATGGTGTTTGAGAGAAATGAGTATTTAAGTGTTTTTTTTTTGAAAAATAATTCTGTAATGAGGGAGGGGAAGAGTTCTGACGCGTTTAAGTCGCAACCAAAATCGGAAATATATTTTTGGTTTATACCGTAAGTGCATTTCTGGTTTATATATTGCCTGTAATTTGGTTTCATAGGCCACAATTATGGTTGGGGTGCTACCAGAAATATATTTCTGATTTACACCTAACTTTTATGACTAGTTAGGTACGTACCCAAATATATTTCCAGTTTTAAGGGGCATTTAGGGAATTTCGCGTGGTGCGTTAGAAAACCATATGGTGGAAAAAGAAACTCTCTTATAGTTTTGGACTATAGTTTTATTTTGAAATGATGTGGAGCGCTTGTAGTCTCCGAATGAAGATCAATGGTGTTGATTAAAAGAGGGAGGTGTACTCTTGTGTGACACTAGGTGATGCAAGTCTATATATATAGCACCATGGTGAACTTTTGAGAAAAAGAGAATTTCTTTCTCTACCCTATAGTGAAAAGAAAACCCTACGCATTTCTTAAATTGCTCCTAGAAATCGAAAATATATTTCTGGTGCGCACCATACACCACACATAAACAAACCAAATGTGGTTCCACCCTATTTAAAAGAGAAAAACAGAACCAGAAATATACTTCTGGTTGCACCCAGTATTCTATTTCCGGTTTGTATAGCGGGAATATTGAATTTTCTGCCACCTTATAATTTTATATATCATCGAAAATATACTTCCGGTATTATGAAAAATGAAAAATGAAAAATGAAAAATGAAAAATGAAAATGAAAAATCCTTCCATTCTCAATCCATTTTTTCAATCTAAATCTTCATTCTTGTGGTTCATCATATCAAAAGGTGTTCAAGAAACTGAAATTTAAGGTAAAAATTATCCAAGAACCAGAAGTGTAGTTCCGATAAAGTTCAACTTCTAACCAGAAATATATATATATATATTTCTGGTTAGAAGTTGAACTTTACCGGAACTACACTTCTGGTTCTTCGATGTGTTTTCATTTCCAGAAACTGTGTATTAATTAGTTTAATTTTTTTCACATTAGATATGGTGCATCCAGATAACATCCCCAAACCTAATGTGTCTCAAGTTGTTTCACCTCTTGTATCTCCTATTGTAATTGAGGTGGTAGATATTCGTGACTATTTTGAAATTGAAGAGGAGTTTGAATTATATGAATACATACTACAATGGATTC